GAGTGAGTCACGGGAGTCTCTGAAGAGCCTGGTCCAGCCCACCCCTTACTTCCTCGCAGCGTGTCACCGTCACGGCTGTCACCCGTGCACCGCTATCATCACGTGTCGTCATGCATGGATCTAGCGGCCAGGGAGCCCACCCTGCGGCGTCCGCCCCCTCACCCTCTGAAAGTGACGTGGCCCCGGCGTCTGCACTCAGTGGGCCTTCGGGCACTGGTGGGGCGTCCGCACACAGTGTGTCTTCAGGCACTGGTGGCTCCCGCCCGGCCCTCGTCCCTCGTGGCTGCTTGGTGCTCCTGCGCAGACATTCTAAACACGCGCCGTTTTCGAAACTCAGTTTGAGAGTCTGTGAAAGCCCCAGTGACCGGGCCGCGGGAGAGGCCGAAGCGAGCCTGCTCAGAGACGCTGAGACAGACCCCGCGCGTCCCTGGGGGAAGGGGGGTCCGTCGGCTCGGAAAGCGCCGTGGCGGGGCTCCGCCCGTGTCCCCAGAAGACCCGCGCACGCCGCCCCCTCCCCGAACCACCATCCGCAAGCGAAGGCGGAAGGGAGTCTGGACGGTCCTGGGGGGAACCCGCGGGGGAGCACGGCCCCCTGAGGCCCTGGGCATCGGAACCCCTGCGGTCTCCCTGAAACGCGGGCGCCCAGGCCCCCGCCCCCCGGGTCTGAGGCCCTAGGCTGGACGCAGGGCCCGGGAACGAGCATCCGCAGTAAGTTCCCGGGTGGACCTGATGCTCTGGTCTGAGGAACAGACTCCGAATGCTCCGGTCCGTGCTCTGCACTGTTGCACACACGTGGGAGAACCAGAGACCCGTGTCCCGGCGCGACACGCTCTGCAGCAGGTGCTGAGCAGGAGCCGTCAGGTGCTGGGCAGGACCACGCCCGGCCACACCTCGTGGGTGCAGAGGGCTGGCCGCCAGCACGCCGGGCCCGGGCTGCGGAGGGGGCCACTCTCCGCGGTGCCTGGAGCGCACGCCATGTGGGGCTCGGCTGCCGCAGAGAAGCCGGTAAAGGCCGCTGAGCTGGAACCGCCTGGCTTCCGAGCCCACACTGTCTGCCCCGCCGGGAGCACCCACTCCAGAGGCTCCGCGGTGGCAGAGCCCGGGGTCCGGGCCGCTCGGGAGGAGGAGGGGCAGACGTGAAGGTGGCGCGTGCCTTTCCGAGCGAGGGCGCTGGGCTGATGCCGCGTCTTCGCGCCGGCGCGAGCTCAGAGGGCAGCAGAGCGGGGCAGCCCGCTCGTCCGCGGGGGCCCTGCCTGCGGGGACGGCAGCGGACCATCGTCACCCAGTGCCGGGTGGGAGGTAAACGGGAACAGCTGGCGGTCCAGCGTTTCCCCACGAGCGAGCCCCTGACTGGCCGGAGGCTGCATCGCAGCAAACTGGCATTTCCCATTAAAAAAAAACCCACAAGCTTCCTCCGTTTTCCTTGTTGTCACCGAGGCTGCAACTGTCCCGGCCGAGGGACGCGTGGTGTTCGTCTCACCCAGCCTTAAAACGCTCCTTTCCCGGTGAAACGGCACCGTTCCGGGAGGACCCACCGAGGAAAACGAACTCCCCTTCCACAGACTGGACACGGAGAGCAAACAAAATAACTCGGAAGATGAACAGACGCAAATCTTATAAAACTTCTCCCTCAGACACGCTACACTCTGTTAATGGTGGGATTTGTTTTCGTGTTAAAACAGCATATTCGATAACGTTCTCAGACAAAGTCAATACTGCGGTAGCCAACGGTTTATTTCACTTTATTGTTAAAACCCGGCGTTCTGTAGACGCCGACGGTAACCCGGCTCCCATCACCGACCCTGGTGGGGAGAGACAAAGCCGCCACCAGCGGTGTGAGGGAGAAGACCAGAGTGTGCTGACGACTCGGGAAACCTGAGTGCGCTCCAAATCGGCGACGATTTTCAGAAAGTAACTTCCCGCACGACGCAGTTTTCGAAGTCGGCTGTGCCCAGGAGTCACAGCCTGGGGTCACAGGTCACGGTCCCCACCCCGGCCGGCGCTCACCGTGCACCGGCAGCGTGGTGCCGGCGGCCTGTCGCCTGCCCTCCCCGAGACCCGGTCTCTGCCCTCACCTCTCCCAGGGGGACGGGGCGCCCCTCCCAGAAGCCCCCCACCAAACAGCCCAGCACTGGCATTTCCACATCATCTGCAGGACTGGGCTGGGGGGGGTGTTATGGACCATTCCCCCCGCCCTTTTCCAAATAAAATAATGAAGCCAAAGAAAAACGTGTCCTTTGGCTCCTTCCACGGGTGCTGCACGCACACTCGCTGTCAAGAGTAAGAAGTCTTTGGCATTTAGCATTTATAAAGTCTGATGATACACAAACTTCATTAAATTTTTAATGCCATGGCTTGTTTAAGGAACTATTTTGCACGGCTCAGAAGGTACATAATATATGACAACATGCAAATGAGAGGAATCCAACCAGTTAACAACTTTAAAGGAGGAAAAACCATGCAACAGAGCCAGGGACTGTGAGGAAGTCCTAATTACTTATCTTCGGGTCACAAGTTCCATTCCGACTTTCCTAACAACTTTCAAGGTCATTTGGTCGGAGAAATAACTCTCCGTGTCCAGAAATTGGTTTTTTATTTTTAAAATCCTGCAGGTGAAACACAGCCACACCCGATACCAAGATCCCAACCGACGCCTACAGGTCCCCACGCCGAGGACTCCGTGGGGTGACGGGCAGCCCCCCACCCCCGCCACGCTGGGCACAGGCTGGGGAGCGCTGCAGGCCGCTCCCGCCGGCGGCCCCTTCTGGGCGAGGTGCTGAGCTTTCTCCACACCCACCGTTCAGCGCCGCATCAAGGCCATTCTGAACACAACGACAGGCGTGCGTACACGTGTCCCAGACACAAGGGGGCCAGTGGTCTCCCTCGCTGAGCCCGCCATGCATGGAACTGGAGAGCGCCCGAGGGCGGGGAGGCGGCTGGTGCCTGGGAAGCAGCTCCTGGCTCCGGTCTTCCCGGCAACGCAGACTGGCAGCCGCAGGGAGGACACTCCCGTTTCCATTAGCCGCCCGAGGAACTCCTGGTCCAGCGGGCTTTTTGTGTCACGGATCCCCCCTCCCTCCTGTTCCTTCTTTGTCACGCCATCCATCAGGGGAAGAAAATCGGCCGTTCATGCTGTTGAACTGATTACAGTGTGGTTTGGGCTAATTGCATCTCTGTGGTTTCTGTTAACTCGAGCTCCTATCCCCTAACCCGGTGGTCTGACCCAGCGGCTTGATCACGACCGGCACCACTGACTCACGTGTTTTCATTAACTGTGATTCACAGGTGGCACCGTACACTTCCCGTGGCATCCAATCCGGAGGCCCCCGGTTCTGCGGGTCCCTGGGTGGTGAGGTTCACGCAGACCAGCGGGTTCCTCTGCTCCCAACCTGGATGCGTGCATCGCCATCGATCTGGAATCTCCGGCGAAACCAAACTTTCACTTTTTGGCGTCTTTGCCTCCGGTCTGCAGCACAGTTTCGGAGACTCGCGTGAGCTCATCACCGCGGCAGCCTGACGGGAGGGAGGAGCCTGAGGAACGGCACAGCAGGCACTCGTTGGTGTCCCAGGGGGAGGGGAACTTCCCCGCAGAGTGACGTTGTGAGTGGCCGACTCATTTGTAAGTGTTTTCTTGTTAAAATCACGTCTGGGACTCAATTCTGCTTCACAACTAGAAAACTCAGACGTGCCTCAAACGCCCTGTGCCTGCCCCTCAACGATGATGCCTCCTTCTAAGTCAGCATGTGCGTAGTGGGGGGGACGCCCGTGTCACCTGTGAACTCACAAGTCATTCCCCCAAGTTCACGTGACCCCTGGAATCTCCCGGAGCACCCTGGCTGACGGTCACGGTCAAACAGAGAAATAACGCAGGTTCCCTGAGACGGAGGAGGCGGGGCCCTCGGACCCCGCCGGAGGAGACGACGCGAGTGTGCAGGGAGGGGCATCGTGCAAGCGTGCGGCACGCCCTCCGAGGGCCACCTGTGGGTCACGCAGTCCCGCCAGCCTGGCCTCAGGCGTGGACGCAGGAGGGTGAGCAGCCACACCCGCACACACACTCACACACTCGTTTCCAGCAGCAGCAGAGCCCCTGCCAGCCCCACAGCGAACGTGGCCCGGTGGCCGTCAGCAAACGCTCGGACAGCACGGAGTGTGTCGCAGATTGCAGTGTGGCTCAGCAGTGAAAGTGAGCAAAGCGCTGACGTGTGTCACCAAACACGCGAGTGTGCAAGGCGTCACGCCGAGCGACTCTCAGAAACCTGCAGTGGAGCTCCTGACTGGTCAGCCCGGAGACCCTCCCACGGCTCGTCCCACGGACACGTGGCCAGTCTCGGCAAGTCCACGCACGGACAGCAGACCCATGGCTTCCTGGAGCGGACGGGGGAGACCGGGGGGATGGGAGTGGTGGGTCTCGAGGGCCAATTTTTTGGGGGGGTGATTGGTGATAGTGAACTTCTCTACTGAGCAAAGCTCACAGACGAACTTGTATGTTCCTGTACGTTCCCACGTCTGTGGCCACACCACAAACCACGCACTGACACCGTTTTGGGGGAGTTAGCTGCCGTGTGGGTGTACCCCAACCCAGCTGTTGTAACAGATGCCCCATGACCCGCCCTCGGTCTGGCTGTGCCACGCCCCTGCTGTCGGCAGGACCCGCCAGCACCCGAGGCCCTTGGAGGAGCTACACAGAACTGTCTTCCCTGTGCAAGACGTGGAGTGACCCCACTCCCGATGCCCCCCCAGCCAGGGCTGGGCGGCCGCCACCCGCACACGAGGCCCCGGGCAGGGCGTGGCCCGTGCAGACACGCAGGGCAGGGCGGGCTCTCAGGTCACCCCCCGCTGCCCAGCCAGGAGGGGAAGGCCCTTTCAGGTGGACGGCAGGAGATGGCGTCTGGGCAGCACGCTGCACGGCAAGCTCCACCTTCCCCGAGCGGTCACGCCGTCCCCCTCCCCCCGCCCCCACCCCCACCCGGGGCTCGCGCACAGGGGGAACCGGCACTTACAGGCGAACTGGAGTCTGGCTTCTCTGCTGACCACGGTGCCCAGCGAGTTCGTCGCGAAGCACTGGTAGCTGCCGGCGTCCCGGCCCCGGCGGGGGCTGACCAGCACGAGGCTCCCTCCGCGCAGTCGGTACCGAGAGTGCTCTCGCGGGTCGATGTCGCTCCCGTTCAGCTGCCACCTGGGGAGAGGTCAAGGACCGTCCCTCTCAGGATGCGTTTCCTTAAGTCGGCACATAGAGCCCACTGCGCACGCCCCTCCCCTCGACGCCACAGGCGGCGCGTACATCACTGCAGTGTTTCACAACTAAAGATCAGCTACGCCCAGTTATTTGTCAGCAGCCAGAGGCGGCTCGGAGTGGGGACCGCGGCGGCGTGGCGGCAGGGAGTTGCAGACGACTCAGATCGCCCGCGGAGGTGGGAGTGATTTGGTCGCACGCCGGGGACCATCAGGCTGGGCCCGGGCAGCCGGGGGGCAGAACGTTGAGGTAATTGCCTCCTTCCCCGCAGGGGGGCCGCTTGCTGGCCTGGAACGGGGAAGAGCCCGCTCCTGTGATTGATCTGGACGGACGGGGCGCGGTGAATAAACTCATCGGGAACGCCCTCAGCATCCGTGTCCATTTGTCTGGGTGGGCGCCCGCCCGAGGCGCCCCTGAGCCGCCACCGTGCTCTCTGCCAACAGGACGCTGAGTCGAGGGCCCCAGTTACCCCCGGGGGGCGGCAAGGGACACGGCAGGAGCCCTGGCGGCATAGTTAGTCATCAACGGGAAGGCAGGAGGAGAAAAGGGAAGCGGGGGCGGCTGGCGTCCAGCAGGGGCTTTCTGACAGCAGCCCCGGAAGCCTCAGCCGCCGGGTCTGCGGGACACGCCGAGGTACACGTCTCCATGAAAACCCACCGAGTGCCACAGCCCCCGGACACGCCCACTCTCCACGCCCGGCCTCCCGCCTCCTGTTCCAATAACTCCATTATTCTCATTAGGAAGGCCTCGTCCTGATAATAAAATCACGCTGCTGCCTGTTCCGCAAATTTTAGCACATTACGACAGCCGTCCTCCTTGCCCTTTATGACGATTTTGAGAAAACGGGAGGAGGCATGAGGCCCGTTTCCTAGAGGAGGCGCTCAGCCCAGCAGCTGGGTGAGTTGGCGACGGTCCCACGAGGGTTAACCGGCCGGAACCGAAGCGGCGCCCACTTCGGTTCGAGCCCCAGTCACGTCGTGGGGCCTCGCAAGGTGTCTCGTTAACACAGGGAGCACTGAACCTGGACACACTGCGCATCGCGAAGGCACAGGAAGAGGTGAAACGTGAACATCACCCCGAGTGAACGCGCAGAAGTTGGATGAAATATTAAACAGCTGTGAAAATGCATGAACTGTATTAGCATGAAAAAGTCTCAATAGCTATGCTTAACAAAACTGCAAAATAAAACATGCAGTTTGAAACCATTTACATCAAGTTTTAAAAACACATATACTCCTATTAGGACTATTCTAAACATGCATCTTAGTGGATGGAAATGATACACCTCGATTTAAGGTATCTTAGTCGCTCTCGTGGAGAGAAAGGGGGAGGTGTTGGGGCAAATGTGGGAAACTCGGCTTTCGTGGCCGCGAGAAGGTTCATCGTCACCCTTGGCTGGAGGCATGCACCACGTTCCACGTCGGAAACAGCGCGCAGTGGGGTGTCAATGCCGGGGGCTAGAGGACATGCGCAAACGCGTTAGTTCAGTCTCGGGTGCTCAGCGAGTGTTTGATCATCTGCTCCTTTTCTAAGTCAAGAATTTCTTGCTTTGTCTTCTTGGTTGATGTAAGTCTCCCAGGTCTACCAAACCAGCATTTCTCCTAAGAGACCAAGTTACAATGAAGAGAAAAAGCTGGAGGCCCCAACTCTTTTTCTTCTGAATTTAAAAAGAAAATGACAAAAAAGAATAGAAGGAGCCGTAACCTCCTCCTCGCGGCGGAGTCTGCGGTGGGTCTTCGGTTCTGCTCTGCGTGTGGAGCGACTCTCTCAGGGTCCTTCCCCAGGCAAGCCCATGTCCACGTGGGTGTTTTGGGCCATTGTCCTCGATTTTAACTTTAATTCTGCCCTTAGAGTTTTGATGTCACACCATGATAAGCATGTATTAAACCCCTCTCATCTGATTCTTCCCCAAATCTGATAACTACAGAAACTCTGAAAAGGAGATGAAAACACAGGAGAACTGTCCATCCACATTCTGTGTAAATTCTGTTTGCTTGATACACGGTGTGCTCTGAGGGGCATCACCATCACCATCATCACCATCACCATCAGCATCACCATCACCATCACCATCAGCATCACCATCACCATCACCACCATCAGCATCACCATCAGCAGCATCAACATCATCACCATCAGCAGCATCACCACCACCGCCCCCACCTGGGAGTCTGCTGGACACACAGAACCTCGGGCCCCACCCCAGACCTGCTGAGGCAGAGCTGGCACCCTGACAAGAACCCCAAGTGTTTGATAGTCAGCTCTCTAAGTTGGAGACAATCTGGTCTACGTTCTACCCAAGGAGCCACCATGGGCAACCTCTGGGGACACGAGCAGGTGAGAGCGCCCACACGTGACCTGTTTTGTGTTCAACAACTGCACTTGGAAAGCCCTTCCTCCCTGTCTTGAGGAAAACACGGAGCACCCGGACGCCAGGCCACCTTTGGTTTCTGAGCACACGGTGACATGGGTCCCTGCCTTCAGGAAGCTTCACGTTTGTGGATTTTTTAACAATTTCCTGGTCCCTGCCCTGCCCTCCACCTGGGTCCCAGGCCCTAGCCACTCCCGCCAGGTAACAGCCTAGTGAACCCCGAAGGGACTCGAACCAAATGCACCCCACTCTGCGGGCTGAGCCGACCCTCCACCAGCTCGGTGACCATTGCCCACCACTTACCTCTCACAGACCTAAGTTTTTAACATGCAGATTGGAAAAAAATGCCATCTTTGCCATAAGGCTTCTCTGTAAATTTATGCAGACAATTTATGCCACGCTCTTAGCTCAGGGGGCCATTCAGCCAACAGGAGGCGCCACTGCTAATGTGGAGGAGACGGCCTCCTGGCCACCAGCCGTCTTTCTCTCTGCTTCTCTTTCCTCCAAGTGCCTGCTGGTTCTCCGTCAGCTCCCTCCCTCGGTGCCCCCCACCCCGGACCCTCCTCTCCCACGGAGCAGACTGTGTCTCAGCAGACAGTGTGTGTGCATGTGCGCCTGCTGGAGAAGCCAGTGAACACGGGATGAGACTCGTGCTGGCCTTGACCTTCAGGGAGTCAACCCCACAGGGTGTCACAAGGACACGGGCTGACACTTAACCTGTGGACAGTCGTCGGTCAGTGAGGGGTTCTGTGCCCGCAGCAGGACACACGCTCTCCAGTCAGGAATGACGGAGCTACTGTCAGCTCAGATGGGCCCGTCTCATGACAGAGGGCACCTGTGTCTCCGTCACCTGCGAAGGTCAGCTCGCATGGGGAGGGGAAGAGATGCTGGCTCCGGAGTCAGCACATGTGTGGCCCAGCTCAGCACGCCGGGCGGCGTCCCTCGAAAACTGTGCTTTGGTGTTTAGCCGGCGGGCACCAAAGGCGCAGCGGCTGCGTGGGGAGTCGTAGAGACACACGCAACTCGGAGAAGCACCTCTTCCCTCCTCGTCCGCAGCTGGGAAGAGCGGGGGGCCAGGATGCAGGGGGGTGAATGCCTCCTCTCAGCCATCGTCTCCGACCTAAGCGCTGTCGCCCCCAAGTACTGACTTGTCCTGACTAGGAGAAAAACGGAGAAGGTGTGTTCCGGCCTCATGCACGTCCTCCCTTCCTTCAGCTCGGTCGTCTTCGTGCGGTCGCTGTCCCCACGTTATCTCACCACCGAAAAGGCAGCAATGACTCGCCCTCCAACCCGGCCCCGCCGCACCGGAGCGGGTGGCGTTTCTTCCCGCAGACCCTCAGAGCCTGCGCACACTTGAGGTTCCTGCAAGAACAGTCCTTCTCTGGCAGCAAAGCCTCACAACGATTTCTCGCCTCCCCAGCACAGTTCCTCATTAATGGAACTCATCCTCAGGTGCTACAGAATTTTTCAATATCTTATTAAATATTGATTCTTTTCCTCCTGCTGAAAGTGTGTGGATTCAAAGGAGTCGTATTTGTTTAAACTCTGAAGTATGTATGAAATCTCTGGGCCTGGGTTTTATCCTGAGAAAACGCTAATGCAAAAATATGCCCGAGTCAGCCTGATTTGTAAATGCTCCTGACATTTTCGTCTGCCCAGGACACGTGCAGGAAGACTGGACGCACACACTCCCTCCTTCTTTCCTGAGTCTGCGTCCAAGCAGTGCCCACGGCAGCCTGGGGCTCTGCAGTGGGGTGTCCGCCAGCCGCTCGGGGCCCATGGGCCCTCAGCAGGGACCTGTAACCTGTGACCAAAGGGGCACATTCGGGGCATAAACTGGGGGACCTTTTCAGGGAAGGTGTTCTTTTAGTTTTGCACCTTCACTGTCCTTTGCAAAAGTTGCAGCAGCTCTCTTTTGTAAGGGGGTTTTGCAGTTCGTAAGGAACTTGACAACCTTATGATGAAATCTTTTTGAAATACGGGAATTGTTTAAACCTTCACGGAAGTAGCACTGCATTCCAAAGGCTTTACACAGCGACCTGCAGCCAAGGGGTCGCCCCTCCACGCAGGCATCACTCGGTGACCGCGGGAGCAAGCCCGGACGCTCGCAGGCAGCCCCCGGGGCCAGACGCCCGCTCTGCACGCACCGGGATCTGCTTGTAGGGCCCTCAGGGGAGAACCGGCCTGTGACTCCCACTTCTCGAACCCACTGCGTCTCGGTCAGCGTGTTCCAGGCCTGGGCGCTGCTGAGCGAGGAGATGCGTGGACTTGTTCCTGAGCCGGCAGCCCGAGGGGGAGGTCGGGGTGTAGGGGTGCAGGGTGAGACATCTGCTCACCAAGCCAGGCAGCAGAGATTCCATGGATCCTTTTCTAGAGACCAGTTATTCATCCACCCAACCAGATGCCCAGCTCACTGGCCGGGCGCTGGGCAGGCGGAGTGAGCGAGGGAACAGGGGCCCAACCACAGAGGGGTGCAGTCGTGGGGGGTCCCCCCAAGCCGTTCGAGAGCAGCTGACGTAACACCTCATGCACGCCCGCGATCCAGCAGGCTTGCGTCTCGAGTGCAGAGCTG